GTGAAATTATTTTAGCAGTCAATGACTGTCAAAGTACACCATTGTTCACGGTCAATTAAACAGTGCTAATGTTGTACTGTTTAGTCATACTTGCATGCAATTTCAGTCAGAATAATCAAAGTACTGTGGTAAACAATATACAGTGCATCTGGATGGTATTGATAGCGCTTCACTTTTTCCACATTTGTGTATGTTGCAGCCTTGTTCCAGAATGGATTAAATTATTTTATTTCCTCAACATTCAACACACAATCCCCCATAATGACAATGTGAAGTCTTCGAAAGGGTTGCAAATTTTTTTTTTTTTTAATTATTAAAAAATAATTAAAAATCACCTGTACATCAGTATTCTCAGCCTTTGGCGTGAAGCTCTAGATTAAGCTCAGGTTCATTCTGTCTCCACTGGTCATTCTTGATGTGTCAGCAGCTTCATTGGAGTTCACCTGTGCTCAATTCAGCTGATGGACATGATCTGAAAAGGCTACACCTGTGTATATAAGGGCCCAGGGTTGACAGTGCATGACAAAGCACAAACCATGCATGAGGACAAAGGAATTGTCTGTAGACCTCCAAACCAGGATTATCTTGAGGCACAAGGCTGGGGAAGCTTACAGAAACATTGTTGCAGCTCTGAAAGTTCCAATGAGCACAGCGGCCTCCATCATCCGTCAGTGGAAGACGTTTAACCACCAGGACTCTTCCTAGAGCTGGCCGGCCATCTAAGCTGAGTGATCCGGGGAGAAGAGTCAGGGAGGTGATCAATAACCTGATGGTCACTCTGTCTGAGCTCCAGCGTTCTTCTGTGGAGAGAGGAGAACCTTACAGAAGGACAACCATCTGTGCAGCAATCCACCAATCAGGCATCTGTATGGTAGAGCGGGCAGACGGAAGACACTCCCCGCCTGGAGTTTACCATCTGAAGGACTCTCAGAGCATCAGAAACTAAACTCTCTGCTCTGATGAGACTCAAACTGAACTGTTTGGAGTGAACGCCAGGCGTTACGTGTGGAGAACAGCAGGCGGCGCTCATCAGCAGGCTAACAGCATCCCTACAGTGAAGCATGGTGGTGTTGGCATCATGCTGTGGGGATGTGTTTCAGCAGCAGGAACTGGAAGACTAGTCAGGATAGAGGGAAAGATGAATGCAGCGATGTACAGAGACATCCTGAATGAAGACCTGCACAAGAGTGCTCTCCACCTCAGACTGGGGCGACGCTTCATCTTCCAGCAGGACAATGACCCAAAACACTGCCAAAACATCAATGAAGTGGCACAACAACAACTCGGGGAATGTGCTTGAGTGGCCCAGCCAGAGCCCAGACCTAAATACAAATGAACATCTCTGGAGAGATCTGAAAATGGCTGTACACCGTCACTTCCCATCCAACCTGATAGAGCTTGAGAGGTCCTGCAAAGAGGAACGGGCGAACATCCCCAAAGACAGGTGTGCAGAGCTTGTGGCATCATATTCAGAAAGACTTGAGGCTGTAATCACTGCCAAAGTATTGAGCAAAGGCTGTGAATACTGATGTAAATGTGATTTATCAGCTTTTTAATTTTTAATAAAGTTTCAACAATTTCAAACACTCTTTGTTGACATTGTCATTATGGGGGATTGTGTGTAGAATGTTGAGGAGATCAATCCATTTAATCCATTTTGGAAAAAGGCTGCAACATAAACAAATGAGGAAAAAGTGAAGCGCTATCAATACTTTCCAGATGCACTGTAAGGAGAGGTCACTGAATAAATGTGCGAATATAAAACCACCTCAATACCTCAATAACAAGAAGTCAATTCGGCATTGCTTTATTTATTCAAACTGAACTCAACATACTAATAGTAAATGACAAATATTGAAAACCAAATCATATATATTGGAATTCCCTCTTTTATTATCTGGATTCACGGTGTATAATTATGTGTTTAAGACACATTTCATAAGATATATGCAAGACATTTTATTAAGGGTGTCACGATCCTCCAAATCCTCGATTCGATTACATTTTCGATTCTAAAGGCACGATTCGATTTTCGATTATGAATAATTAGTTAATTAATGACCAATTAATTATTTGTAGCCTACAGTTTAAACTACCTGACCTGCATGGTCTTTGTTTTACCCATAAACAAATCATACAGTAAATGAATAAAGGCAAGATACACACATAATTACCACCTGTCAATCACTTTTTCTGCGGGACTCGTGAATAGGCAGTGATCTGTGTCGTTATAATGGCGTCGGTAAAAAAGACGCACAACCAACAGGAACCAGCCAACAGCATCTGAGGTGTTCGCTAAAATGACTAAGTACAAGTGAGTGAAAGATTGAAGCAGTCCTCTGACTGCCTGGACCTGCTGTCTCGAGCGCATGGCTGTGTGTGTGTCTGTGTGGTCACGTGATGTGCATTTTCAGAGGTAGAGAGGAAGGAGGGCAGCTCAGAAATGCTGCACGCCACTGTGGATGTCAAATCGTTGTCTAAATGCCATTTAAAAACAAAGACAGTGTAAACAGGGTCTGTGTGTGTACTTTTCGCGAGCGGATTTGCAACGGGGGCGGGCGGAGAATCGCGATGCCGGTGTTGTCTATCGGACGAACTCTAATACGTACATAGCAGAGCTTGCAAAACTGTGTGTTTTTTTGTCGACAACACGAACGTTGTCAACATAACTCACTGGAAATCCAAAATGCTTCCACACCGGCGACTTCATTGAAAGAGGAGAGGGTTTAAGCTCTGTCGACGGGTCTCCTGCTTCTGCAGTTTAACAAGCACTTCAACAAGCCTGTTTTTTCCCGCTTGGCAAGCCAAGCTGACGTGACATGGGGGCGTGGCAGCATCGACGATTCTATTTTTTGATTCGATAATCGAAATGGAGCATAAATTTTGATCGATTTGACGCCCCTATATTTCATAATTAAGACACATGTAAACGTCTGATGATATTCTTCCAAATTAAATGTTGTCAATTAGGGAATTTTATTGCAACAATTTATTAGCTTAAATGCCAAAAAGGTGCATTTAATTTTGATTCATAATTACCAAAGGTTTAACTTTAGAAGAGTTCTGAATCTGCATGTAGTGGAATAACACCCATTTTGTTGAGAATGAAAATCAAAATATTTTACTAAACTTCCACCTTATGATATTATGATATTATAACTTATTATAACTATATATATATATATATATATATATATATATATATATATATATATAAGTTTTATGCTGTTGTGTTGTTAGTGCACTAAATGTCAAATGACTTCTGCTTAGTTCCTGATCCATCAGGGGCCGCCACAGCACAATGAATCACCAAATACTCTGGCTTATGCTGTATTTTATGCAGCAGGTGCAAATCCAGCTGCAACACAGCTCTGAGAAATACCCATACACACACACACACACACACACACACACACACTCGTACACTACGGCCAATTTGTTCATCAGTTCCCCTATAGTGCATGTGTTTGGACTGTGGGTGCATATTCAACACACTTTCTTGTTTAAAAATTAATTTCTAATAACTAAATTTCTTTTATCTCGGTCATGATGACAGTCATATTTTATAAGACACTAGAATTCAGCAGAATTCAATTTTCATGGAGTGAATAGTTGTCTTCAGCTGGATTTGTATAAACAACAGTATTAATGATTGTACTGAGACGTTTACAACAAAGCTGCTCGCTGTTAGCAGCAATACTGCTTATGTTTTCTGTTTGTGTGCTGTTTTGTCAGGAATCATCTGCGATGTCATTTATATTTGACTGGATCTACAGAGGCTTCAGTGGAGTGCTGCAGTTTTTAGGTGAGTTCAGATTTTTGTGTCAATATTCTGCTCTTTTTTTAATGTTAAAAAATTAATAAAAAGACATTTGTTTAAAACAGAATCTGAAGTTTTTTTTGCATTCTAAATATCTTTACCTTAATTTAATGCGTCCTCATTAATTAAAAAGTGTGTTAAATTGTATTAAAATATTTCCCAAGTGCTTTTCCACAGTATGTTCGGCTATATTTTTTACAAATGAAAAGTAAAAAATAAATAAGTAAAAACTGCCGGGGTCAATAAATGCATTTACATTGCAAATGTCATTGCAAATGTTTACGTCGCACAAGTTTTTCTCATCGGATAAAAGGTTTATACTAAAATATATAAATAAAATAAATTAAATAAAAAATAAATAAATAAAAAACTGCAGGGGCGAGGCAGTGGCGCAGTCGGTAGTGCTGTCGCCTCAGCAAGAAGGTCGCTGGTTCGAGCCTCGGCTCAGTTGGTGTTTCTTTGGGGAGTTTGCATGTTCTCCCTGCCTTCGTGTGGGTTTCCTCCGGGTGCTCCGGATTCCCCTACAGTCCAAACACATGTGGTACAGGTGAATTGGGTAGGCTAAATTGTCCGTAGTGTTATGCTGCGTTCACACCAGATGCGGAACACGCGGCAAGCGCGAGTGATTTACATGTTAAGTCAATGCAAACGCGCGAATAGACATCCTGCAGATTGCAAATTGCGCGAATGACGCAGGGAGAATTAAGCGTTTTGGGTGTTTGACGCGCTTAATGAGCGTTTCGCGCGAATCTCTCGAATTCGAAAATCTGAACTTCAGCGTACATTCGCGCCGCGTTAACCAATCAGAAGCTTAAGCTTCTATACTAAATAAAGCGAGTAAACTCAAATGTTCACGCGGCTATTTACACGCTAATAGCGTGATTTATCCGCGCGTTCCGCGTCTGGTGTGAACACAGCATAAGAGTGTGTGTGTGTGTGAATGTGTGTGTGGATGTTTCCCAGAGGTGGGTTGCGGCTGGAGGGGCATCCGCTGCGTAAAAACTTGCTGGATAAGTTGGCGGTTCATTCCGCTGTGGCGACCCCGGATTAATAAAGGGACTAAGCCGACAAGAAAATGAATGAATGAATGAAAAACTGCAGTGGTTAATATTATTAGCCCGCTTAACAAATCATATTTGATTGGTCACCAAACTTATTCCTGGAGGGCCGGTGTCCTGCAGATTTTAGCTCCAACCCTAATCAAACACACCTTATCAAGCTGATCAAGGTCTTCCTAGGTATACTTGAAACACCCAGGCAGGTGTGTTGAGTCAAGTTGGAGCTAAACCCTGCAGTGACACAGGCCCTCCAGGACCGAGATTGGTGACCCCTGGTCTACAGAAACCACTCATACAATGACTTGCCTAATTACCCTACCACCTGTATATTTGTCTCATTGTGACTCCAGGTCTGTATAAGAAGTCTGGAAAGCTGGTTTTTCTTGGACTGGACAATGCTGGAAAGACAACTCTCCTGCACATGCTCAAAGACGACAGATTAGGACAACATGTGCCCACTTTACATCCCAGTAAGGCTGAATTCACCATCATTAACACACGCCTGAGGTGTGTGTGATTATATTCAATATTCCTGATGCTCTTTTCTCTCAGCATCAGAAGAGCTGACCATCGCAGGAATGACATTCACTACATTTGATCTGGGTGGACACGTACAAGGTCAGTAATATTCAGTTTTATTCTGCTTTGTTTTGTGGTTAACTAATGTAAAGAGATGTAAAAATACGGTCAGCCATCATTTACTCACCCTCATGTTGCTCCCAAACACATGTATAATTGTCTGAATTATTAGCCCCCTGTGCATGTGTATGTATATATATGTATATATATATATATATATATATATATATATATATATATATATATATATATATATATATATATATATATATATATATATATATATACATATTCATTTCGGCTAAGGGCCTTTATTAAACAACTGCAGATATATCTGGCTACATATATAGCTATACATATATGCATAGGTATACATATATATATACTATATATCTATATATATATATATATATATATATATATATATATATATATATATATAT